TGATTGCTACTCCAATTGAATTGGCCTTAAGTTCTGAATCAAAGACAGGCTAAATTTCATTTTTAGTCCACTATGTTGACAATTTTCCGAAAAAAGTTCATCATATAAGGTGTTATCAATAATGGTCCACTAAATTGTCACTTTTAATCAAAACTCGTACAATTGCCAACATAGTGTACTAAAAGTGATTATCACTTTAGTGGACAATTATTGATGACAATTTAGTGGACCATTATTGATGACACCCTATATAATGGACCTTTTTCGGAAATAGCCAAGATAATGGACCATTTTTAAAATTTTGCCAAGACAAGTTGCAGAAAGTCATGTTGAATGCAAAAGGCTGTCACATTTGACAAACAATTTTCCCAAAGCCATTATTATTTAGGCTGCCTAAATAAGTGAGGTCGACATAATTACGGCCATCCTCCTTGAGATTTTGTCACATGCATCTCTCAATAAATAATTATTTAAAAAAAAAATCAGAGAAAAAATTCATTAATGTATGAAAATAAAGAGAATAATTATTCAAAAAAATATGAACATATTCATTTTATTACGAAGAATTGACAGAGGATACATTTTTTAAGGTTTATTTCTCTTATTTAATTTAGCCAATGTGCACATTTTTTAAGGTTCATTTCTCTTATTTAATTTAGCCAATGTGCTATTAAGTTCTGATTGTTGCAGTGTAAGAATGTTTAGTTTAAGAACACACAAAATTCCTCCTAACGAACAATAACAGATAAAACGCTTTCTATGGCGAATAATAACCTTGTCATCAACCGAAACGAAGAATTCGTTCTTATAAGATTAAAGACTGAAATAAAGCTCCTACTAAACATCAAAACATAATGGCAATGCCTTAAAACCAAACTCATATCCCTATCAAAACATAGAGTAATATCTCGCACTGCAACGACTGTCATTTTCGTGGCATCACCCTTGTAGACGGCAATCTCTCATTCCCTAAGTTGTCTGGTTTTCTGGACCCCCTGCAATGAATTGCAAACATGGTCAGTGACTCTTATATCTATACACCAGGTTTGGTAGATAATATCGCTAAACATGCTTCTACGAATACAGAATAGGATTTACCTTCATTCCCCTTCTTGAGGAGAGGACATTTGACTTTCTAATGTCTCGACTTTTTTTATCTGTCGCATCTGCCTTTCGGCTTCTTCGCATCTTCTGCGCAGCTACAACAGGAGCAGCCAGGGACGCTGGTGCCAACTTAGGCTTTTTAGCAGACCTGTTCTTCCTCTAGGGCTTTTTAGACTCAGAGGTAGAAGGACCAGCCCACTCGGCTACTAACGCTTGAGAGTTTTGACGAAAGATCCCCTCCACAACCTGGAGGCCTCCGAGATGTTCTGCGAGCTACAACGACATCTTTTTATGTTTTAGTTCAAACAGAACTTCTCAAAGCTCTTGGGTAGAGACTGAATCACGATATCAACCTAGGTTTCTCCATCAATTTCGGCTTTAAGGATCTCCACCTGAGTTGTCCCATCAACGCAAGGAAATAGGAGTGCCCTCAACCATGGTTGTGTTCCTCAGAATCCTCATGGACTCCTGCCTGAGATTGGTGATAAAAATTTTCCTTCAGATTGAAAAGTATATCATAAGCAGAACCCATAGTCAAATGTTGATGATAAAGTACATTTGACATAGAAGCCAAGATGTAGCAGCAGATCATCTCATCAATCTTCTTCGACTTCACATACTTCTCCTTCTCATCCTCAGTGGCCCCTTCACCGGGCATATCTGGGCAAGGTTCAGAGAGTACGAATTTGTACCCCTCTACAGTCAGGACTATGTCCATGTTCCTCCACCAATCATTATAATTGGGACTCGTAAGTTTCCTTTATGAATAACGGACAGTGGAAAGACATATTGAATTATCCTGAGAATCACAAAAAATGTTATTAATTAATATTTTAAATTTAACCATTAATATTGGTATCCTCAAATAACATTATTTTAAATTCACCGACATCTCAAACTACCGAGAGTAACGCATGCCATGACGGATGGCCCTACCCACTCAACATTCGCAAGTGAATGGTAATTCGAGGACCCATTAATCTCTATAAGCCAAAACTAAATTAACGGCGAACAAAATTAATAGTCGCTCTTCGTTTGGCCACACGAAAAAAAAAAAGGAAGAAAAAAACAGTGACTCCAACGGGGAGGACGGTTTTAGTCCTATTATAATCGTAATCTATTACCTTATTCTAAGGTTATCATATAAATATTGTACGTCCCCGGACGGTGAGGCCCGCATGCTCTAAACACAGTTTTCTACAATCATTCGAAGGAAGTTCATCCTGATAATCCCACAATTAATTTTAGTAATGCCCTCGAACGGCAAGGCCCACACATTAATTAATTGCATCACAGACGAACTAGTAATTGAGCAGTAAGATTTTTAGAATTGGCTTAATTTCAAAATTTCCTTCTAGGCTTCTACCACTTAGTATGTTAAAATGAGAATTTTCAATTTAAACATGCAACCCTATAATTAATTTACATGCCAAATAAAGCAACCTAATTAATTATACATGCATAGTTAACAATTAATAACAATAATAAAACATGGAAATAAAATATGTATTATATATAGTCATTAATTAAAAATCTTAGCCAACTAGAAAATAATGAGTCATGTCCTTTTGGAACCATTATTCTTTATCATCCAAGAATTCCTAAACAAGCAAACTTCTTGTCTAAGTAAGATGTTTTGTCGGACACCGTCTTATCTC